GATTTTTGATTATAACTTTTAAAAAATTTTTAACGTTACAAAATGATAATAATGATAATGATAATGATAATATTAAATAAGAGACGTGGAATGAAAACTTTTTTTTTTTTTTACGAACAGTCGACGACGACGACAACGACGTCGATCGTATTTTTTTTTTGTTTTTTTCACATGACGTGGTTTTAATTAATTTACGTTTTTCTTTTTCTACGACGGAAGATTATTTATCAATTATTATTCTTGTCAACGTTTTTTATTTTCTTTTTTTAATGACAGGACAATGGAAATTACGTAAACTACGCCATTCCCATATATTATTATTATTATTATTATTATTATTATTATTACATTCAACCTGAGAGCGAATTATTATTATTATTTTTTTTTTTTTAAATTAAATTACCGTCGACTTGAGTTTTGTTTTTGCCCGACTTTTTTCTTATCATTTAAACAACCTCTCGCCCCCTCCTCCCCTCCTATCACCTCTCCCTCCCCCTTTTCCCTCCCACCCTCCCTCTCTCTCTCTCTTTCTCTCTCCCATAGCGGAAAACGATCGAAAATATGGATAATCAACACGAAAAACAATTAAAATTCGATGATATCAGTCAGCACTAACCGTATCTTAATTAATATAATAATTTATTTAAAAATTGGGATTTCCCCCGGATCCCCAAAATTTTGGGGATCCGGGGGGGGGGATTTTTTAAATTGTTTTCGTTATGCGAAATTAAACGTTTGTGTAATTAACAAACAAAACGAAAATTTTTTAAATATCACTTACGGAGAGAACAAACACGAAGAAAAAAAAAATATATATGTATATACATCTCAATGCCATTTTATTATTATTATTATTTACTGATATGCGTTATCTAATATCAAAATGCAAACTGATTGTGTGCGAGTGTGCGTGTGTGCGTGCGAGTGTGTGTGATGAATTAGAAAAAAAAAAATTTAAAAATGAACGAGATAGCGCCTGTTTTTTTTTGTTTTTTTTTTTCACATACAATTTTTTTTCGTCTCGTAGGGGGGTGGGTGGGGAAGGAGAGGGAGGGAAATTACGTGGGAGATTGATTTGATTGTAGTGAATTGTAGAATAATGAGTGTACGCACGTAAATAATTTTCGTACTTTGTACTCTGTGCGAACGAATGCGAATTCATTTTCTAAGAAATTAATTTTTATTTAAAATATCAAAGTTTAACGGAATCGAACGAAAAACACAATAAATTTTTTTCCAAAGCACGACACAAATAAATTTTCACACGCACACGAACACGCACACACACACAGTTATTATTATCATACGTCCTACACACTACAATTTTTTTTTTTTTTATTAAATGCATTTCCTGTTTAGAAAAAGAAGAAGAAAAAATACGTTTACGATGAATGAAAATGTCGTTATGATTATCATCGTCATCGTGGGGGGGAGGGGATTAGGGTAGTGAGGAAGGTTTTGTAAAAAATTTATTAGAATGAATTAGCAGGT